TTTCCCTTCAATTACACCTTGGATAGCATCCCAGCCCTCATCTCCCTCTCATAATTCTACATCCTCATTTCTTCAGTTTCCTGATATACTTGGGTTTGTATCCCAGTTCAGTTGATCTGTCCTATTTCTGTTCTTCTTTCAGCAAATCCATTTCCATTTCCTCATATCTGCTCTTCCCAACTGGTTCTTGCTTTCTCCTAGTTATCATCTTACCTCCCAGTGTCAACTTCTAGTTTCTAGTTTCTTAATTTATACATTCCAAGTCTGGTTTCCTGCATGATACAATTTTGTTGTCTATCTAGTGCTAATTACAGCTTCTACTTCTACCTTCTCTTCTTCTCTGTGTTTACCTGAACTTATTCCAAACTTTCCTTTTCACTCCTCTGCATCTGACTTGGAAGGTTCCATTTTCTGTGCTGCCTGCCAGAACAGTCACTGTGAACTTCGCAGATGCAGATTCCTTGCTCTTAGTTGCAAGACCAAGTGGGGAAAGTCCAATTTTATGCTTGTAGCTATAAACTGGAAAGATGAACCTACTTAGTGGCTTGATGGGAAGGAAGCACATAGTACAGTGTGCACTGAGTTTGTGGAATTCTCACAAGGTGAATTATTAACTGTTTCTTGTGAACATTTATGAATTGAAGTTTTTCAGTTTTTGATTAAGTAGATTGGAATAGTTCTGAACATAAGCATAGCTTTTAGAAAGAATTTTGCCCATTTTGGTGTAAAGTGATAGAAAAATGGGGCAGAGAGCATGAAAAGTGCTGGCCTAAGCTGTTAGCTGGGTCTTGCAGTAAAGACTGGATCTAGACTCTCCAGGGGTTCACACAGGAGGAAATGATGAAGGCTTGCATGTAATACAGCACACTGGGATTTAGGCACCTTAATACAAACTTGCATTTGAGACACTGTCCAGTGTTTTGTCCTCCACAGCCAACAACCAAACTCTTCATCGATGGGAAGTTTATTGAGTCCAAAACCACCGAATGGATTGATATCCACAACCCGGTAAGTGAAATAGTCTCAGCATACATATTGGTGATCATTGTGCAACAAAGGTCTGTCCTGCTGTGCAAGGATGTGGCAAAGGGGGAAAGTACATATGTTTCTTGAAAAAGGTTTAGACTTGGATTTTTGCTTCTCAGTTTCCTTTTCACATGAAATGTCAGTCTCAGAAACATTACTGCCTCCTTTACCTCTCCCATATAGTAAACCCCTGATACCAGAAAGGAAGCTTAAACTCTGCTTATGGGTTTGTTTTTTTTCTCAGAAAGGCTCTGTGATCAGTATGTCAGAATTCTAAAGGGTATCTTTCACCCTGTATGCAGAATCAACTGGCTGTGATTTGCTGACAACTGAATGTGAAGGTCTGATAGAGACTGATTTCACTCTCAGGCCAAGGTGGAAAATCCCAAGAGCTGATTCTCCTCTCTCTGCGCTTCTATCTGTGGGCCACAATAATCACAGAGGATTTGGAAGTTGGATGCTAATAATCTTAGATGACTAGCACTTTTACTTGTCCAAGTGCTTCACCAAAGACAAATGGAAATGAGCTTGCATGCAGAATTCTGACTCCCTAGTAAGCATTCAGACAGCAGTTTCTAAATGTTTTTTAAACCTCTATTTTGATTTGCTTTGTGGAAGTGATCAGAGCAGTAAGCCAAGCTCCTGATGCTCATTTGGTCTCTATGTTCTTGTTTAATTTTCTTGGTTTGAGTAGTTTCTCTCTTAGTGATATATTTGGTGTTTCTGTCATGTCAAAGCAGATTTAATTTTTAAGAGAGCATTAGAAGGAGATTAAACTGGCAAAGTCAATTTCTCAGAGTTAAAATATGGTAGAACTAAGGTTGCTTGTAAAAAATATTACTGTGGCCCGGGGGCATAGGTAAGCTAACATCAATGGCAATTGCACAGTCATGTACTACTTTTCCAGAGGAACATTACCTTATTTAATGTGCAAGAGGAACTGAAGATGAGCCAAGACGATGGGGTTCCTTGGGAAGGAAGGGACCACAGTCCACAGAAACCTTTGCCTTAAACACTCTAGAAGCTTCAAGATAGACAAGTCATTCTACTCCAGCTTAAGAATCAGCACTGCATTTGCAGCTTTCTGGGTTCCTAATTTGAGATACGTAGAATGCAGGCTTTCAGTACTATTCCAGTTGTAGCCCAAGCCTTTTGTGTGTACCAAGGAAAGAGTCTCTTTTGTGCTTTCCCTTCAGATTTACAGTTCCTTGTACAGCAAAGATAATAGGAGTGTGCTCTGAAAGAACTGTTGAATGACTGGCAGGGACAGATGAGAAAAGCTGAGTTTTGATGCAATCTATTTTTTCCTTCAGGCCACAAATGAGGTGGTTGGCCGCGTACCAAAAGCCACAGCCAGTGAGATGGAGGCAGCTGTGGCTTCTTGCAAAAAGGCGTTTTGGAACTGGTCAGAAACATCTGTTTTGAGTCGCCAGCAAATCTTTCTGCGTTATCAGCAGCTCATCAAAGACAATCTGGTAAGACACCACAGATGTGTGTGATGGCTGTGGCTGAATGCACTGCAGTGACTTTAGGAATTAAATTGAGAGACTTGGGGTTTGCAGAGCTCTTGATGAGGCATTGCCATGATTGAAGAGCCAACTGAGACACCGTCGAGAGGTGCAGGTAAACACTCCCCATCAAATGGGGACAGAGAGGCAGTTCTTAGGGAATGTTGTTCTGCATTTCTCCCTTTACCAAGAGACTGCAAAAGGAACTTTCAGCCTTGATGGAGAATGTGCCAATTGAGGAAGACAAGGATGTTACTGTGTCTTTGGGTTTCCCTGATTGCTTTTTTGGTGTGTCTGTGGTGTGATTCCTGAAAGCATTAGAGTACAAGTTAACCCATGGTTGATTTATTTTTTTTCTAAAATGTCACCTGTGTGGGTTATTGCTTCTTGTCTACAAGGAGCAAATCAGTGTAGGCTTTTCTGTATTTTGCTCAGTCTGTTCATTTTGGTGTTCAGGTCTGTTAAACTGTCTTATCCCTGCACTCTGTTTCATAAGTGGGCACTTTTCTAACCTTTATAAACTTTGTTTTCCATTTTCAGAAAGAAATTTCAAAACTCATCACCTTTGAGCAAGGCAAGACCCTGGCTGACGCTGAGGGAGATGTGTTCCGAGGCCTCCGTAAGCTGCTGGCTCCTCCTGTTAAAAAAGGGGCTTTGAGAACCCATAGGACAGGATGAGGTCTCCTGAGTAACTGATTGCTCTGGGAATCTGTACATGTAGCTACTTTTATAGCCTCCTACTGAAAGAAAAGAGGCAATTGTAACTCTTAAGCTGAAATTTTCCTTACACAGAGTATCGTTATATCACTTCCAAGTTGTTAGATCCTTACTTTTTATAGTCTAGTGACTACAAATTACTAAGAAGGGGTAAGAACTTCTCACTTGTGCTCAGATACCTAAGGTTGAGTCCCAGGTGGAACAATGATACTGTACCTGTGCATCTTGTACTGGGACCATTGCATCTGTGCTCCTATCACAATGACATATAATGTGCTCAAGAGAGAGTGCTTGGCAGAGCAAAAGGATTTTCTGGAGCACAATGAGTTGTAAGTTGTGGGAGAAGAGGCTGCAAGAAAGACATGGGTCAAGACAGTGGTGAAAAGGGTGAAAAGAGAGTTTGGGGGGCTAACTGTAAACAGATCATCCAGTGGCATGTTGCCCTTTCTGCTGCAGAGGTGGTTGAACATGCTTGCAGTGTGACATCCCTCATACTGGGAGAGACCATGCCCTCCATCACTAAAGACATGGACACTTACACCTACCGTCTGCCCCTGGGAGTGTGTGCTGGAATCGCACCGTTCAATTTCCCAGCCATGATTCCTCTTTGGATGTTCCCCATGGCTATGGTTTGTGGAAACACCTTCTTGATGAAACCATCTGAGCGTGTACCGGGAGCACTCATGTTCCTTGCCAAGCTGTTTCAGGATGCTGGTGCCCCTGATGGGACCCTGAATATCATCCATGGACAACATGAAGGTATAATAATAGCCCTTCTTGGGAGGTGGCTGGAGTGTGTAAGTGTTGCAGTGTATGCTTAGCGGGAGGTGCCGTTTCGAGAGTCTGAGACTGCTGCTGTTAGATGGGTTTGGACAGATGCTTCAGCTCTGTTGATGGAGGTGAAAGGAGATGAGTGGGAGATTGTCTGCCACCTTGCACCAAATCTTTCAGGAGATATTGTGGACAAAATTTTGGGGATTGGGGTCAGAGTTCCCAAGGAATCTAAGTGCTCAAATTCTATTTAGCAACCTAAGCTCCAACTGAAATAAGTAGATAAATCATCTTGGTTTCCCAAGGACTAAATGCCTCACTGAATATGCAGCGTGTGCCAGTATGCTGGCTCCTAGCATGGCATTTTTTACAGGACACGAGTAGCTTCAGAACATGATGATGTAAATAGGCAACGGTAACTTCACTTTGGCATCGCTCAGGGACATTGGGAGATGCCCAAAGCCTGAAGAGAAGTCAGACAGCCAGGAGTATGAGGACAGGGGCAGGAGCATATGTGCTAAGAAGTTAGTGCAGGGATGCATAGACAGGCTTTGGGGGAACTTTTGGTAGAAAACACAGAGGCAAGAATTTCAATAAGAAAGATTTCATGGATTTAGAACTGTGGGGATGGGAACACAGGGAAGTATTTGTGCACTACAGTTATATTATTTCTTGTTTGAAGCTGTGAATTTCATTTGTGACCATCCGGATATCAGAGCAATCAGCTTTGTGGGATCTAATCAGGCTGGCGAGTACATCTATGAGAGAGGATCCCGGAATGGCAAGAGAGTCCAGGCCAACATGGTAAGGCCTCTGAATGGAGCACACTTCAGCACACAGACTGCCTGTCCCCTGTGAATGTTAAGAGAGACGATGCCACTCAGCAGCAGAAGCTGGCTTTGCTGCTGATAGTGAAGTGATGAGGTTGCCCTTCTTGCCAGCCTGTTGCTGGCAGAATGATAGCTACTATATGAGGTCAGAGTCTAGCGAGACAACTAGAGAAGAAGTGGGTTGGGGTGATTAATAATGGGAGGCTGCATATGTATTGTATTTCAGGGAGCCAAGAACCACGGTGTGGTAATGCCTGATGCCAATAAAGAGAACACCTTGAACCAGCTGGTTGGAGCTGCTTTTGGAGCAGCTGGCCAACGCTGCATGGCCCTGTCTACAGCAATTCTAGTGGGAGAAGCTCAGAAATGGCTGCCAGAGCTTGTGGACAGAGCCAAAAACCTACGTGTAAATGCAGGTACAGACTGATATCTTCTTATGAGGTACTTCACTTCTGTACAACTGTAGCTTTTCAGGTCGGCTTATCTGCCATGCTGTGGTGTGTCCCTTGGAGCTATTTGCACTGTAGGTTTGATGTGTAAGGGTAGGAGCTAGGAGATTGTCTGGATTGGGAAACACAGTCCTAGACTCAGAGTTAGGAACATTTATTCACTTGCCGTGGGACTGTGATGCAAGGCGTAACAGGATCCGTCTTGTTTTAACTGGAGACTTGAGGTTACATCCTATGTTTAACTCAAACCTGCCATTCATATAGCTCCCTGATTTCCAGATCCTTCCAATTTGTAGTAAGCATAGAATAACAAAAGAAAAATGAAAACAAGTACTTTGGAAAAGCCAGACTGTGATTAACTCTAGGAGAATTATCTTTTGTTTACATTCAATCAAGTCCTGCACTTCTCTTCTCTTATTTGTTGATTATGAGAGCTGCAGACTATTACTGTTGTTCATCAGGGTCTCGAATCTTTGTTCCGTGTCTCAGAAACATCAGGATTTTTCAGATTTTTCCTGCCAGTGTAGTTATCTCCCTGATGCTTGTGAAGAGGAAGCTGTCAGAGTTAAAAAATTGGTGTATCTGCCTTTTCACAGGAGACCAGCCTGCTTCTCTTATTTGTTGATTATGAGAGCTGCAGACTATTACTGTTGTTCATCAGGGTCTCGAATCTTTGTTCCGTGTCTCAGAAACATCAGGATTTTTCAGATTTTTCCTGCCAGTGTAGTTATCTCCCTGATGCTTGTGAAGAGGAAGCTGTCAGAGTTAAAAAATTGGTGTATCTGCCTTTTCACAGGAGACCAGCCTGGAGCAGATCTGGGGCCTCTAATCAGTCCCCAAGCCAAGGAACGGGTTTGCCATCTGATTGAGAAAGGAGTAAAAGAAGGTGCCAGTCTTCTTCTGGATGGACGTAATGTCAAAGTGAAGGGTTATGAAAATGGCAATTTTGTTGGGCCAACCATCCTTGCCAAAGTCAAGGTAAGATTACCAAAACCAGTGCTTGATATTGCAATATCGCAGGGTCAGCTGAAACATGAGTTACCTAAATCAGTCAGTAATCAATAATCACAGGGTAGAAAGCCCAGAAATGGCTCGGCCTTTCCTCACATGGTATAAGTACTCATTGTAATGCTGTTGGGGAGGTGATAAATTTGCCAAATTTGCAGAAGTGCAGCGTACTCTGAATGAGGCTAATGATCTTAACTTGGATGGACTGCAGCCAATTAAAGTGAGATAGGGCCAGCTGGTACTGTGTTCAACTAAATGTCCATCAACCATAGTAATGGTTGATGTAGTAATGGGCAGCACCAGATGCCTAAGGAAGAGCATAATGAGCAGCCAAACGATAAATTTGCCAAATTTGCAGAAGTGCAGCGTACTCTGAATGAGGCTAATGATCTTAACTTGGATGGACTGCAGCCAATTAAAGTGAGATAGGGCCAGCTGGTACTGTGTTCAACTAAATGTCCATCAACCATAGTAATGGTTGATGTAGTAATGGGCAGCACCAGATGCCTAAGGAAGAGCATAATGAGCAGCCAAACTCACAATTTCTTCCGTTACTTGTTTGCAATTTAAGGACTTGCAGAAACCAAATTAAGTATTTGTAGAAATCTTCATGGAAATAATATAGGATGAGGTACAAAATCTCATTGTTGAATATACTCACAACTTCTTTGAGTTGGCCTCTCAATGTATTGCGTGTGTGCAACAGATGGACAACACTACAGGGGAATATCAGTAAAGTACTGATACACATCCATGTGAGTTTCCATATCTAAATTCATTCTTTTATGTTTATGCAATTAGCTGGTATGATATCCTTAATATTTAAGCATTCAGTTCCTTGTGGGCTTTTTGGCGAGTGAGTCCATTATAGCAAACCACTATTGATAATTCTGCTATTGTACTTTGTATTCTTGGGACTTTATTGATTTTATGCTATTATGTCATTCAGGCATTTGACCTATCTCAGAATTTTCTTGCCTTATTTTCCTTAGAAGTCTTTAAATACTTCACTTTCGTGTCATGTGTTGTAAATATTGTTAGGTATTCAAAAGTAAAAGTTTCACTGAAATTTTCTGGTAGTTTTCTTACACAGTGTTTAATAATATGATAAGCCACATAAAACAACTTGTCAAATGAATGTTTTGTAGTTTGCTGTATAAGTTACTGGTGATCAAAGTACTCTCCAGATAGTGTTGTGTGGGGTGGGTTTTTTTTCAGGTATTGCTAACTGTCAGACATAAATCCTGGACACTGTCAGAAAGGACAGCAGGTTCTAGTCACTTTGTCAGCTAGAACTGAAGTAAACTATCATGAATTAATCCCAGTCTTAATCAGCCTTAGTCAGAACAGACCTGTAAGTGAGGTTAGGCAGGCAGTTTGACTGCTGAACTGCAGAAAGCACTCTGGAGATGAAAAGTGGTGCCCTCTTCAGTGGACTAGATAGATGACAGGGCATAGGAAATGGTGAAAGGGCAAGGAGGACTAAAGGATGGCCTGTGGCAATGCAGTATGATCATTGATCCTAGGAATCTCCTGATCATTAACAGCATGTGTGTTTATTATATCCTACTTACTTATATTTTTATATATCCCTTATACAAGCTGCTTTTTCTGCGGTTTGTCTTGGCAGCCAAACATGACTTGCTATAAGGAAGAAATCTTTGGGCCTGTCTTGGTGGTTCTGGAAGCAGACACTTTGGATGATGCGATAGAGATGGTGAACAATAACCCCTATGGAAATGGAACCGCAATCTTCACCACCAATGGAGCCACAGCTCGGAAGTATTCTCACTTAGTAGATGTGGGGCAGGTATGTTCCAGCCAGAATTGTTACTCACCATTTACAGTGGGCAGTCATTAGTAGCAACTAATCACTGCCCTCTCAGCCAGCAGTACCCAGCCTCAGATTTAAGGAAACAAAATGTGGGAGCTTGTGGAGAGTGTTCTGCAATCGGCTGCTTCTTGTGACTAATCTGGCAGCTTTCCTTTGGTTTAGGTGGGTGTCAACGTTCCAATCCCAGTACCTCTGCCCATGTTCTCTTTTACTGGCTCTCGTGCTTCTTTCAGAGGGGACACCAATTTCTATGGAAAACAGGTAACTTAATGATTCAGAGTACTCTAATAGGTTGAATTGTGATTGATAAATCATGCTATAAATGGCAATGGGCAGATGGGCATCAGACCTCATTAGTGAGGAGGCTTTGAAGCCATCTTGACCAAGAAACTGAAAACCAGCCAGTGATCAGACACCATAATGCATGTTACCATCACAGATAGCCAGTTCATTGTTTATTTCCCATAAATATAAAAATGCAAGTCTTCTTTTTAGGGGATTTGAGAAGGGAGAAAGAACTAAGTAGCAAGTTTTCTCACAGAACCAGAGTCTTTGGGGAACTTGTAAAAAGAACAGGATGACAAGAATTGTTCGCACAAAGGAAATCTCAGCCCTCTGTAGATAAAGCAGAATCTGTTCGATATGCCACTAGTGCAGACTTGAAGAATTTATAAGGGCAAATAGCTGATCTTTGGATCTCTCCTTTCCTCCAGGGAGTGCAGTTCTATACACAGCTGAAAACTGTAATTTCTCAGTGGAAAGAGGAAGATGCGACCATTGCCAAGCCTGCTGTGGTTATGCCAACTATGGGAAACTAAATCAGCCTTTGCAGATGCTGTTCTTGGTACCCTTCTCCTATGCTGCACTATCCAGCTTTGTCCTGACTATCATCATTTCCTTGGGAATGAATAGGAAGCTCCTTTGTTTTTTTCAAGGAACTCTGTTACTGTGCAGATCGGGCAGGCTCGTGTAACTCATGGTCTGGGTTTTCTATTGCTGTCAGTGGTTTTTTTTGGCCAGCTGAACTAATTTTTTTTCCACAACCTATCACAGACTAAACAACCTTATCTAACTGAAAGGGCAGCCAGTGAGATGGGTCTTAATTTTTGCTTCTTTCCAGACCCTCTGAACTTGAGCATTACTCTGGTTTTCACTTCAATATCTTTAGCCTTAGTGACTCACTCCTGGCTACATCTTGTAGCAGTTTTATTTACCTCTTTATCTTACATGTTAAGATTCTGAGCTCACCTTACTCAAAGATGAGTACTCATTTTGAGTGACATAACTGGGGCAGCTTGAGTGCCTCATAGAAGTGACTTTACATACAATGAAGACAGCAAATTGTCGGTCTTTCACCTGTTGAGCAGTTTCCAAAACACTTGGGAAATAGCTTTGTAAGGATTTTTCAGGAAAGCAAGTTTGACTGCTTGTCTGAGAGTGAAAGAAATTCCTGATGGTATAGTGACCTTCACTGTGTCTCTGACAGCTTGAAAACTTCTGTTCCTGTTGTGTGTGTGGCTTGTATGCTCCATCTTGCTGTCAATTCCATTATACCTGAAAGTTGTTTGGTGCCTTTTTACTGTGCTAACAGATATAAGTTTAAAGGTCCTATAACATAATGTAGCTGTGGAAGCACAAACATAACCATGTATATATGTCTTTGTGTCACATAATCATTTGGATCTGGGTAGAAAGGAGAGTAAGTAGACAGGCCAGTAGGAAGAAAGAACAAGGTTTTTAATCACAAAGCAGCCAGGCCTGTTCTGTTGGTTTCCTTTCCTGGTCGTAGCTGTATTTCTTGTGTTGATTGACTTCTTGTCACATTTGCTCAAACTCAGTCATGTTCCCTTGGGACTGCAAGTTCCCATTATTAGAGAAGGGTAAGTCTTGGTATATACAGCCTGTTTTTAAGAATCTGGCATTTGCAGCTGAAGAGCCTAGATTTTTAATCCTGGTCTTGAAAGATGATGCAGCCATGAGGGATCTGCAGGGAACTTGTTCAAGCACCCATTGAAAATAATAATAGAGTCACAGAATTTTAGGGGTTGGAATGGACCTTATCTAGTCCCAACCCTCCCTGCCATGGGCAGGGACACCTCCCCACATGAATATAATAAAGTAATATTATTCTAATGATTGTAACTGTTACTTGTTCTTATTAAACAATCTGAATGTGAACACTTTGTATCCAGCCTTCTGGTAAAGATGCTTTGTAACTGACTGATCTATATTAGTGCAATTTCTGTACATTCACTAATGTTTGTATCTTGTTTTTTCCTCTGCTATACACTAGAGGGAAATTCTCACGTTGCGATTTGATTACAAATTAAAAAAATGCTAATATATTTCTGAAGAATATGACTATTCCTTGGCACAACCTTATATAGGTCTGATGTTGATTTTATTCTTTGCAACTCCTGTAACCTATGTATACATCTTCCTTTTACAGTATATCAAGGGCCTCTGAACCATTTCCCTCAAACAGCATTTCAAGGAATGCCTTGGTTCTGTTTCCACAAACACAGCATTTGATCACAAAAACTCGTAAGCTTCATAGAAATGGCTTTATTACAAACTGAAAACACATCTTCACCAAGTTACAGCAACTCTCGTAATATAGAGCTCTAACCTCTAGTCCAAATCATAGTGCTTTGTAGAGGCCCTTGCAAGCTCCTGACTTGGGAAAGAATAAGATCTTTACTTTAAGGAGGAGGGAAGTGATGGATTTCAACCATATAGTCAAAGCAGCAGCGAGGCAGACAGGGGAACTCAAATTCACAGCCTTACCCAGGAGATAACTTCTAAAATGACAAGAGCAGAGGAGTTGCTAATTGGTGGCTGTTGTTCATGCAACATGTATAGCTGCCTTACTTGGTCTGTGGTGTTAAATCTGACTATGTGGAAGCATCACTGCAGAAGATGATGAATCTGATAATTTTAGCCTTCTGAGTAACAAATATTAGGTTGAGATAAGCATTTTCTGTGTTGCAAAAGATAAAATACTTGAGGTAAATCACCATTAAGACACTGAAATTCATTCATGCACCTGGGAAAGGAATACTAATTAACAGCCTCTAATACTGTCTACAGTCACTCACTTTCAAAACACCTTAATTTTCTTCCTAATCTGTATTACCATTCTGACTTTTTTGTTGTCCTGTTAAATCCACTATATTTTTCCTTTAGAAATTCTAAAATCCAGCTTCTCCTGTAATAAAAGCAATCTGTTATCAAGGTTACCTGCTGCCTGAAGAATTGCAGGACTATCCCTGGACTTTCTCCAGATATCTTCTAGACACTGTGATCTTCTCATTTGTGTGCAAACATATTTTCTAATTATCTGCATTTCCAACAGCATTTTTTAAACAGTTTTAAATAATTGTACTAGAAATATAAATCTTGTCTGTGTCATTTTTAGTTAATGAACTGTTTTTAGCTCAAGCTGCAGATGCTGACTGATCGTGATGTGCCTACCTCATCTCACCACTGTTACTGCTTTCCACCCGTCTTTATTCTCCTTTTTACTTCAATATTCACTATAAAAATCAGCTAGATAATGTAAAAGTGTAACCTAAAGTATCCTGTAATAAATTTCTTTAGACTATTAAAATAGAATTTTACAGTCAACCCTTCAAATACTATTCGGAATTATTTCTTGCCTGGAAGGCACTGCAGTCTAGATTTTCAGAGCTATTTGATACTCTTAAATCCAAAAATTATGTTAAAATTGTTTAACCACCTTTGAGAATTGGACCCTGCTACTTGTTTTTCCTGTCTACACCAGAAAAAAAGGGCTACAATTGATTTTCCCTCCTGTTTTGAGGAGAGGCAGCATTGCCTCTCCAATGGAGGTGTCTCTTACCTTTCCAAATAAATGCCTTCAGCACTCCTGCTTATAACTTTATCTGGTAATTTGATGTCTGAGTATTACATGTTGGCTTGTGTGCTCGACTGCCTCCCATCTGGCAAGATGGCATGCCAGGACCCTGCCCTCCCGACTGCTCCAGGGTAAGCTGACATTGCTTGCCTTGGAGTGTATAATGGGCAACACAGTTTGATCTGAGACTATAAGAAAATCAGACATAGGAATCTTCATCTTGGTCCATTCTCTTTAAGTGATTCTACACTGAATGCAAGATCAGCTGCAGCTGCATTGATTCTGCCTTTAATCAAACTCACTGTGCTAGCTCCTTCAAAAATCATAAAGCTGTTTTTCAATAAGAGGAGGCTTTAATGGGGCATGAGATGTTTGGGCTTTTTTTTTCATGAGAACCATGTCTAAACGTCTGCTGCTAGAACATCAACACAACGAATTTTAGAACTAATAAAAAATGCCTCACTCCTGTCAACCAACATTTATTTGTGTATAGACACACTAATATAGATCTCATGTCCCAGTTCACAGCTTAAAATACATTTAATGCTGTCTGAACTTTGGATTTCCAGTGTAAGCCATATACCTCTAAAGTCACGCTCCCAAGTTTCTTACGCAGACAGCAATGAACCACAAAGTAAACTTTTCATAATCTGGCTGTGGATATTTGTACTTTTTAATACTGGGCAGGTTGCTTTACAGTACTCTTTTTGAAAGGAAATATATGTAGGGAGTGCTACTGTCACAATATACATGATTCACTTGTTTGGTAAAGATGGATAGGGATTCACTAATGACTGAACAATACAAAGCTGACTGCACTGAGCAAAGTCAATTCTCCTTACTTCTCCTATCTTCTTCAGCACAACCAAAAATTTACTTCCACTTGCATTTCTTTAGATACTACGCACAAAGACTTGAAAGTATACTCTGCTGCATGTCCAAAATCAGTTATATAGTGTATCAACTTTTTCAAAAAGCCACACAGATTCTTATGTTAGATCAGAGCTTCTTGGAATCCCCTGACCTGGAGTTCCCAGCCCAGTTCAGCATTCACCTGCTGAAGAAACAGAACATTACCATGGCTTTGTGCCATTCATTTTGGTAAAAAGCAATTGCAGAACACGTTGGTTTTGTTCCCATGTCAACTCACTGATAGCCACTTTTTCAAAATGGACCTTTTTTGAAAACACAAAGATCAACGTATTAAAGAAAATTTCAGTCGTATCACTCCTGGATCATGTGTATGTAGAAGAGGTTTAACATTCTCGCTCTGCGCTGCTGGCGGGTGGCGCGCAGGGCAGGGCAGGGCAGGGGCCGCCGGGGGGCGCTGCT